TCCTTTGTCCAGGAAATGGTTTCTCACACAAAGGCCTACTTCTCTGTGAGTTTACAGACAGCTTTGCTGCCCCCTGAATGCTATAGCATATACCCCTTATTCAGATCTCCCTGCAGTCAACATAGTCTTTCATACAACACTACTGCTATGCAGGGAATAGTAGCCAGAGGATATATAAGTGTCTTGTTCAGGTACACACTCAGCTTCTGTACAAGTTAATAGGAGCTTCTGACCAGTGGTGAAAATGTCAGGACAAAGCTGGTCTGTGGGGCTGTATCAGCACCGTGGCTGGGGAGGAGCAGTTGCAGAGTGCAGGATGCCGTGATCAGGAAAGCCTGCAGGTTGTTAAAGTGACAGCTGGATCCTAAACCACTTGTTAGCTACCTCCCAGTCTGGCCTGGCTCCCTGCTGCAGCTGCCCTTTGCTTGGGGAACACACAGTCAGCAAGGGAGTCCTCTCCTCCTCCTCCAGCCTTCCATGGAGAAGGGGGGGACTCCCTGCCCCCTACACAGCCCCACATCAGTACAGTGCTCTCCTGCTGGCTTTCCTATGGGAACAAGCATTAGGGGGAGGAAAGGACAGTCACTCACCAGCATGGAAGAGAGGACAGGATGGGGAAGAGCCCTTGGCCCTGTAATTAAAAGTTACTGAGTGATGGCCAGCTCCCCTCTCGAGAAAAGGAAGCGATAGTCCTAGGACTGCTCTCTCCACTGCAAGTTCATCTCACAGTTTTCAAACAACACTGGTTTTCACAGGCTTAATAACATTATATACAGCACTTTGGCATTTGTCACAGCATCTGAGAGCTTAAGCCACTGTGCATATTCCTGCAGCCAGTAGAACGTGGTGTCCACGGTTCGCAGTCGGATCCTAAACTAACGCGGCAAGAGGAGAGATAATAAAACATGGAGTTAAAATGGATCAGCTGTCTGTAGGGATCAGAGTGCATCTGTTGTACTGCAGACAGCTCCCTAGAAGTTAAGTCTCTGAAGACAAGTGGGATGTTTTAACAAGGGATCATGTTGGAGAAAGACAGAAAAGAGAACATGCAGTATCAGGATTTGCTTTGTCATAAACCTCCCTCAGAAAGCAACAGGTTCAATATTAATAATGTAGTAAACTAAGTAGCAGCTCACCTTGAATTCTAATAGCAAGGTTTTGACAAATTTCTGCAGTTAAATGTCCAGGCTGCTCAGGTTGATGGAGAGAAAACCAGTGGCTTTCAGAGAACAAGAGACAAAGGCAGAACTGCATAAGCTCTTCCATCCCACCTCGTTATACTCACTGCTGTAATATGTATGACTTCATGCTAGTTAAACATTTTTTTAAATGCCCTAAGAGCCATTTTCAACAGAAAAAACATGCCAGTGCACCATATCTCCACGGGACTTATGCAAGGCCAAATACAGTTTGAATGAGATGGAAGCTCCTAAGCATCCATGGCCTTTGAAAATGGCATGCATGAAGCTGTGTTACCTATGACAGGACTGTCAAAATTCTGAGTAGAGTTTGGCTCCAGACAAACACCCATATTTAAAGCACCTGGGCTCCCTCACAGGGTCAGTAGTGCCTAGAGAGTAAGTAGGCTCAGTAAGTGCTTTAGCTGACTCAGCCAAATTGCTTGCCATTGACTAGATCTCTGCAAACTACAGAGATAAACTAAACATCTAGTCTTAGGTATTTTTCAGCTTGAGTTCAGCCTCACCATCACACACAAAAGATTTTCAGGCATTGAGCTCCAGAGGTATCTACAGCCAGAAACATTTTAGACTTCCCTGGAAACGGGCTGCCTGTAGGACCTACAAATGAAATGTGCCTCTACCTGGTCTTCCCACTGCCATTTTCAAGTCAGGTATTACAAAAAGAAAGGAAGACAGAACCTCTTAGTTGCAGCCAGTCACTCAAGCATAGGTGCTCACCTGGCACCAGGAGGGCTTGAAGCAGCTCTCCCGTGTGGGAGAGGTTTTATTTTTTTACTCCTGTTGCCCAGGAGTACCAGCTGAGCCCCAAACCCCTGCGGATGTCTCTGGAGAAAGGGCCCCACAAGCTCTTCTGGGTCAATCTGTTTCAGTTTGCATCAGTAACTCGACCAGGCAGTTGGTCAGGTTAGACAGGAAATTATCTCATTGAGATATCACTACATGTAACGCAGGCACAGTCTGGTCTCACCACTGCTGAAGACGTTTCCCCATAAGGCTAAATCTTACTCCAAAGCTGCCTTACACTTAAAAGGGCAAATACATCAGTAATACCATCTAAATACAAGAATTTACCAGCTTTGGGAAAAATCACTCGGTGATTTCCTGCACCATAACATCTTGGTAGCATTTAGTGAAGACAGGTTTGAAAACAGAAATTGTTCACAAGTTCTGTTTGTCAGGTATGTCCTCCTATAACTCATATCAATGACAGCTGACAGAGCTAAGCAGGGAACAGCCTGCCTTGGCTGGAGTTTGCTGAGGGGGAAAAAAACAACAGCTGACATTCCAGTAACTCTTAATTTTTAGACCTTTAGGCACAGAGACTAGTTGCAAACATTTTTTAGTTCATAGTAGTACTCACTTTTTGAACAGTAACTCAACCCAACTTTTTGAAACCTCAGTATCACTTTTTACGTATAACTTATTACCTATAACTTATTACCTATAACTTATTACCTATCACTTAATAACCTATCACTAGGTTAATAACCTATCACTTAATAACCTATCACTAGTTAATTATAATAACTATAATTAACTTATTACCTATCACTTTTACCTATAACTTATTTACCTATCACTTATTACCTATAACCCCTTCCCTTTTCAGTTCTTTTTGGGAAACCAGAATTTTGCCTTTTTTCCCCCCATCTCACAGGGAGCAAGTAAACGCCTCTCCAATCAGATACCTCTGATCATCCTGTCCTCTGTCCTTCACGACTTCGGAGAAAACATTCAGACCACAATGCTGCATCTTTTGCAAGATAAAGACAAGTTAAACGTTCTCCTTGAGGAGGACAGTGAGGCTGCTAAACATAGGAACTATCTCAGTCAGCGAGTAGATCGTCTCACCAAAGCCTGTCAGTACCTGAGGGACTTCAGCTCGCTGTAATTTTTTTTGTTTTTCACAGGTATTTTTCTTGTTTTCTAGCATTAATGAAGAATTTCGTATAATCCCCATAACACTTAATGTCAGCCCAGACCTTTAACACTCATTTCTAGTGCTCAGCTCTGCTTTATTTTCCATAATCAGTTTTATGCAAGCAGCTAAAAGGGCTCCAATGGGGGAGCTGTGATTAAACAAATGTTATCCTATTTCTTGCTTCATGAACTCTGTAAAACCATTGAAATGATCATAAAAAAGCTACCACTCCGAGGGTTGTATGTTTTGTTGTCTTTCCTGGCATTGCCGAAGAGATGACCCTGCAAAGTGTCACCACTGATAAGTGTCAGCCCAATAGGCAGAGAGGGAACACACAGTGGGAATGAAACAATTACAGCCTGGAAGGAAAATAAAAGTTTACTTCATCTGATGGGTACCTCCACAGGATGCCATTGGCTCTGTTGAGTCTCCTTTTTCAGTTCTCTGATTTGCAGAGAAAGGCTAAGAGGCTCTTTCTCTTGGACGCCTGGAGCATCACCTGAAATTTTGGGACTGATGGGCAATTCAATACACTGCAGGATTTGTATGTCCAAAATGGGTTAAACCACCCAGGATGTTAAATATTAGAAGGCTGTCTCAGTATGTGGCTTGTAGGGATTTCTGATATGGGAAAACAGCAAGAAGTGGACGTTGTTACCCTGGTAGGACGCAAGCCATGGGAAAAGGAGGAGCGGTTCCCTTGGGCAGAAAGAGGAACTTGAACAAAGGATGAAAGGAACTAATGTTGCTAATAGGCAAAAATATTATAATATTGTAGCTAGCAGCAAGGACTCATGGATTTAATGAACAATTGCAGCTTATTGTGTTAAAGGTATAAAAAGCCTGCTGAAATAAATAATAAATGTCTTCGCTTTTACCCTCATGTGAAGTCCGTGTCTTCAATCGCCACGGTGGCTTGCTGCCTTCCTCCTTCCCCTCCCCGGGGCATGAAGAACCTTTCCAAAAGCTCTCTCAATTTCATGGAAGCCAGTGCAAAATATATCACTGCACACTGTGTTCATGACATCTTTCATATGGAGGATTTATTTTAATGGGCAAAGCTGTGCTTTGTGTAGCAAAAGTAATGTCTGCATTCAGCTAGAAAAAAAAAATGTTGTTATACCAGTGTGCCATGTAGTAATTTCCAGGATTGTTACAAGAGAAGCCTTTTCCTCAGGCTAGAAATGACAGAAAGTGTTTGACCCTCTGACAGGAAACTGCAGCTGATGGCTGATTTCTGTGGTACAGCCTTCACCCCACTACAGCACAGCTTCCTTAACCCTGCTGATCACTGCAGACAGTTTTCCACATTTCACTACACTGTTTTGCTACTACTGACTTGCAGTGCTGCAGGTCAGAAGCCATAAAAAAAAAAAAACCCGATACCATAACAGCTTAATTTATTTAATTTCTGGTTTGAAAGTACTTCAAACTCACTGACTATATCATGGTAAGCCCCAAGGTGCACTAGATCCACGTGTGCTATTGAAAACACCAGTCCCACACTTAGAGAGGCAGGTACACATTGCTTGAGGCAGTGTGAGATGCAGTAACAAAATAGGGTGTGACTCCCTCAAGCACTGCCTGTAGGCCAAACTTATTTAATTTCACGAGTCAAGTGTGATTCCATCAGACCCAACCACCACATTCAACATTCCAGGACATCTTTCCAGCTCTCTTTCCCTGGGTTTTTTCAAGGACCTGAAACATTGGAATTAAAGCAATCTCTTGGATCACCCTCTTGGGTTGTTTTTCTATTGTTTGTTCCTTTGTTTTTGTTTTTCTAATCAGATTGCCAAAGCACTTCAGACACTGAGTCCAGCAACTGCTTCCAAAAAAATCCAAGCAAAAAGATACAAAGCACTGCTAAGGAAAACTATTTGTAAAAAAAAAAAGATTTATTTGGTGCAGTGTTTACATGTAAGATAATTACATCTCAGTACCAAAAGAGAAAACAAGACTAGTGGAGTCATTTCATTCAATAAAGATTTATCCTTCTTAACAAAGTGACTTGATATGGCTTTTTGATCCTCTGTACTATGATTATAAATTATTTTCAAAATCCTAGTTGAGGTGGCACTCAGATATTAATTGTTTTGCCAAAAAACATACAGGCAGATACCTAAAGGACAGCTCTAAAGAATCAGAAGGCAAATTTAATAAATGAGGTAGTTCATCTGGTTACGCAGAAACACAGATTTGTGTTTCCTTGTATAAAACATCCAGTCTCTGCACATGTGTCTGCAATCCAAGGTCTTGCAACACAGCCCTGCTGGAAAAGTTTGCCCTTTGCCTTTCACAGCAGGGAGAGTTCAAAGAGTCAGCCTCGGTGTGCACAGCATCACTGGGACACCTCCCTCACCACTTCCTGCTACAGCTCCAGAGCATCCCTCTCCACACCTGACATCCCTCTCCACACCTGACATCCCTCTCCACACCTGACATCCCTCTCCATACCTGACATCCCTCTCCATACCTGACATCCCTCTCCACACCTGACATCCCTCTCCACACCTGACATCCCTCTCCACACCTGACATCCCTCTCCATAGCCTCCAAAGCGAATGATGGCAGGGGTTGCCCTTTTTTGGGTTCAGAGCAGCTTTAAGGCAGAACAGCACTTTTAATGGCTGAGGCAGCCAGACTGGTCTCACACTGGACAATCTGACTTGGGTGACTGCTTGTTGAGATCCTGAGGATTTTTAACTACCTGAATGTACAGTATTTTTTTTTCCTGTGCCTCTGCTGTAGTGCATGAAAAATTCCCTTCACATATACTCCTTACCCTCTACTCTGCTCTCCTGAGACCCCACCTGGAGTGCTGCATCCAGCTCTGGGATCCCCAACATGGACCTGCTGGAGTGAGTCCAGAGGAGGCCACAAAGGTGGTCCAAGGGCTGGAGCACCTCTGCTGGGAGGACAGGCTGGGGTTGTTCAGCCTGGAGAAGAGAAGACTCCAGGGAGACCTCAGAGCCCCTTCCAGCACCTACAGGGGGCTACAAGAGAGCTGGAGAGGGACTTTGAACAAGGGCCTGGAGGGACAGGACAAGGGGTAGTGATGTCAGAATGAGAGAGGGTAGGTTTAGATTAGATTTTGGGAAGAGAGTCTTCCCTGTGAGGGTGGTGAGGCCCTGGCACAGGTTGCCCAGAGAAGCTGTGGCTGCCCCATCCCTGGAAGTGTTCAAGACCAGGTTGGACAGAGCTTGGAGCAACCTGATGGAGTAGGAGGGGTTCCTGCACATGGCAGGGGGTTAGAACTGGATGAGCTTTAAGGTCCCTTCCTACCCAAACCACTCTATGATTCTACACTAAAAAAAATTAATTTCTTTTTAAATTGCCAACCAGCAGCTCAGAGATTCAACATTCACATTATTTAACATTTAATTTAAAAGACTACTAAACCAACTGTCTCAACATCCTGCTACAAAAATCTTAAATTAAACTGTGATTTGAATCGCCATTATAAGCCTGTACCTGATTATCAAGTGAAAGTTACTCAACTAAAGAGAGACATTTTAGCAAGCAGTTGACAGAATGACTTTCTGCCAGGCACCACAAGGAGAAGAAAGGTGCTCATTGTGATAATCCTTCACTGATTACCATCAGTCACTGTAGCCAGCACAGAACCAAGTGTGCAATCCTTCATGACATTTTTAAAAAGAAAATTCAAAGAGGAAAAAAAAAAAAAATCAATTGCAAAGTGAATAAATATCCCAGGCACCCATGGCTTCATTTATTCTTGTCCTCAGAAACATCGATCAGACGTCGTTGTCATCTGTTCGCCTGTTTAAAAGACAAAACAAAACAAAATACAAAGGTTCAAGTTCTGTCTTATCAGTTACTAGGATGCTTCCCAACAGAACAGCTTAATGAGCAGACAAGTCCCACTTATTTATTTATTTTTAAAAATAAATTCCTGTTTCAGGATTTGGGACACGTAAAATTTGCAAAAAAACCTTCAAATATTTTACCTGCATATTTCTATAAATCCAATCTGTAAACACAGTCATATTCCCATACACTCCAGGTTTATTGGGAGTAGCACAGCCAGTTCCCCAGCTGGTATCTCCAACCAGCCACCACACAGAGTTTTTGTTAGTCACCAGTGGGCCTCCACTGTCACCCTGCACAGAACACAAGCATTTAATTAGTGACCTGGCCACCAGGAAAGATAAGATCCATTTCACTGCAGGAATACAGGTTAAGTTTGCAAAAAAAAAAAATAAAAAAGCTAACCGCCATTTTAGGGAGTCACTAAAACAAAATGTGATGGCAATTTTGGTATTAAATGACGTCTGCTTGCAAATGGGATGAAAATCATTTGCCCAGAGCCCTAAGTAAGACCTGCATTATTGACTGTTCACAATATGCCGTGATAATTACCATAATAATGCTAATAATGCTGTGATTATGAAGAGTATTTGATCACTTTCAAGTACCAGATAACAAGCCATCCTTGAAGCATTAATAAGAACTGCCTCACCCTCTTCGGGTATTTAGTCAGAACTCAGCACTGGCAGCCATTCAGAAGATGAAACAAAAGCTTTTAAAGGGATGCACCACAAGGGGAACCTGAAGCCCAACCAAATGTTATGCAAACTTTTCATTTTGAGGGCGGGGCACAGGATTTGTTTGTGTGAGAGAGAAAGATCACAAAAATAATCAGATCATTATTAGATGCTAACTAGGAATAATTACCTGACAGGAATCGACTCCTCCTGCTAGATTTCCAGCACAGATCATTGTAGGCAAAATCATGCCACTGTAGATAGAGGGAGAATTACACCTCGAACGTTCTATTAAGGGCACCGCAACATAATTCAAGTTATTTGATGTTTTGCCTGAAATTGAAATAGGCACAAACATATAAAGACAGAATAAGCATCACATTAAGTTGCTACTACAAATCCCAGCAGCCAGCAGAGTCCAAGATGAAATAATCTTACTAGAAGCAGCAGGATGGACTTTTAAAATATAAGAAGTCTGCAAGAAGTGATGAGGAGCTGCCCACGGTTTCAGGGTCCAGCACCAGCTGCCAGCAATTCCCATATTCAGGGCTCAGCTTCCCCAACACCCCCTCCCCACCCAGTACCTTCTTTTACTGAAAGAAACCTTTCTTCCCTTTTCCATTCTTACAAATTTATTTGCATCATGCTATTTTAGCCTGAGGTGCAGGAAAGGACAGGCTCCTGCCCTTTCCCACCTCCAGAGGACTTGTTTGGCACGCAGCAATCCTTTTTACAGGAGAGGTGGCCCTGCTGACAGGGGCACAGAATTGCTTCCTGGGTGAATATTTCTGGCCCCCAGCACTGATTTGAGGGTCCTCTGCAAATCACTACTTGCTTTGACACAGAATGCCCTGGGTAAATACTGGGGACTGTAAAAGGGGTGAAAAAATAGCTTATCAACAGATCTAGAGCAAAGTGCCCAATCAGCCCATGAAATGGTTATTCATAGGCTGAAGAGGACTATTTATTTAGAAGACCAGAACCACTCTTTACCTCCTTGGTACTCTGCTCCCCACCCTGATATCCAGCACTGCTGATCAGGCTGGAACATCATTCCTGGATTTGGCAGACAAACCGGCCGTACAGTTTCTGCAAAACAAACAGAGTAACATCTGTAATCCCAGATGTGCAGACAGAATTCAAAATAAATGCAGGTGAAGTATCTCAGCACCACCACCACTTACACACCACACATTTTCTCCGTACTTTACCTTCCTTGCAGGTGAGCAACACTGTGCAATGCAGGCAGCAGCAGAAAGTTTACCAGCTGCCCTTTCCCTGAGGACTATCTAATCTTCATCTCAAATCTGCTTCATCTTCACCTCAAACTGAAGAACTAGCAGTTAGTGGTTCTAGCTCAATTCATCAGGCTAACTAGAACAACTAACACCAGCTCTTCTGGTCAGTAGAGGACAATAAAAAGAAAAACTTCAGACAGCTCTGCATTCTCTTTGCAAAACTCTGCTGAAAATAATTTCAGTGTGAGCAGAATTCAGTGCCTATATATATATGAGAGGTTTGCAGCACAAAAACCTGGTAAACAGACACTCTCCCTCCTCTCAATAGCAGAAAATCCTTTCCAGAGTACTTCTAGTAGGTTTAAGCTGATGCACTGATACACAAAGAACTTGTACAGGAAAAGCACTGCAAGTTAAATAACCATTTGTTATTTTGTACTCCTTGCTTACAAGCAACCTACATCTATGTTTATGAAAGGAACTTCTTATACTGTTTGGTTCTGGAATTGGGGGTTTTTGACCATCATTTGACCTAAATTGATTTAGGATGTAGTCAGCTGCTCCACTAAGGCACATACAGCAGTGGCAATACTTAAGCACCATTCTGAGATGGAAGTACATTATTGAGATGAGCCTAAACCTCCTGTACATGTAACAGACTTAAATAAATCCTACTTAGGAAATCAGAGGCTGTGCCCTCAGTCTTTTCCTCCACCCTGCCTCTAAGTTCTCTGTACCCACATTTGTGTTCTTCCCATAAGTACCCACATAAGGATTTCTCGATGAAACTCAGAAGTTTTAAAAGATGTATTCATTGCCACTGGATTTTTGCCTTAAGAAGAGCAGGATACATACCAGTAAAACTCAGTGGTGACTCCAACTTCATAAGGGCAACATCATTGTCTTTGGAATCTGTGTCGTAATCCGGATGGGAAATAATCAGATGCACTCTGTATCCCCTTCTGAAGAGCATCTCATCCTGATTCAGAATCCCAGCATAAACCCTCCAGCTGTGTGGGTCAGAAAATCGTCTGCAGAGAAAGAACGGTTAGAAGGTTTGCTTCTGTGGTAACAAGACATGGATTATTGACCTTCAAAACATTGTCTTCAGGAATTGTAGTCAAATGTACAAGAATGCACATGCGTTTGACTACCATTTCTGAAGAATAAGATAAAAAAAATTGCAACACATCCAACTTTAGGAAAGCTGGACTCTAATTTCATAAATATATCCAAAAAATCTTCAAAATGGGTTAAGTATCACTGTCCATCCCCTCATGTCACTCAGCACAGCAATTAAAGTCTGAGACTGCAACACTGAAGTCTATTGATTTCCATGGTTGAGGGATCAAGGAGTTATTTCTGAGGTCTCACATGTCAGTGGTATCACTCACCTGTTCTACCCAAAGAACACAGAGAAGCAGAAGCCAAAATTAGTAAAAACATGATCTAGCGAGGGAATTTCATTATCTCAAAAATGCCAGGGCGTTTTTTTTGCGTGGTTTTGGTGGTGGTGTTTTCTTTTAACATTAAGCATGCTTGCTCGACGCAATTTAAGTAACTTCTTGTGCTCCAGCACAGTTTACAAATGCTTAATAGAAAATTTCCCACAAGTGTTAAAACTCCCTCCATGAGAACTGCCAAGGCAGAGGAGTGCCTGCAAGTCATCCCACCTCCAAAAAAACCAAATCAAGACTGAAAACCAGGTTTGTGCCAGCTACAGCTTGGTTGCCATTCCCAAAGCTTTTGCATACTACAGAGCTCAAATCATACAACAAAGGAGGGATAAGATCACCACATAAAAATAAACACTTGCATTCCTTCCTCAAGGTTAAGGACAAAGTTATTTTTCCTCGCCTTAGCCTTGAACTGTGATCCAGCCAACTAACATTATAAATGTTTTGCTTTGTGGGTTTTCCCTCCAACAGAAGCAGCCACCTTTTAAACACAAGGTACTACAGCACCCTCAACTCTCCTTTATAGGTTAAAAATGTACAAAGCATTGGCCATTTTTCTTGTTGATGGCTACATAAAGTGCTGCTTGGATAGGTATAAATCCACATTTAATACTGACTTGGACTTTACTACCCTGTGGCACGAAGATATGAGGAAATAAATGGTACAAGTACCTTCAAATTGAT